CACACACACACACACAAATATCTGTACATGCTGTGACTCACTCAGTCTTTCAGTCCTTTGTGTATTTGTGATGACCTTGTTGTAACTCACAGTCTTTACATAACATTGAAGGAATATTGCAGAAAAGTGTAGCAGCTTTCTTTCTGTAATTTGTGAAACATTACACAAAATGGCAAACATTTAAGCCATGCGGTGAGTGATGGACATTGCTCATCTAAATTTGTCTGCACATTTCTATAAGGATATTATAGTAGTAGATTGTATTAATTAAAAAAAAAAACATATGTTCCATTCTTTCAACTGTGAATTTATGCTGCTTTTCTTTGTATTATTATATGATTTTATACTGAATACTTTCGGGTTTTGCATTGTCAGATAGTCCGAACAAGGAATACATTTTCAAACCTTGAATTATAAGATTGAAATAATCAGTTTAATCAGTAATGAACATAACACTTTGTCCCAGCCCTTCAAGCATCCTTTGGCTGTTCAGTCCAAACTGATGTTTTTCTGACACATCATTTGCGCCATTAACCAGAATCTAATGTAACCTCTAAACCCTCAAACATTTATTTTCCCAAAAGTCTTCACAACCTCACTTTGACCGTCCCAAACACCATCATCACCATCTCGCATCATCACACACACACACACATATTCACATACACACTCTGACCCAGGTCAGCGTTACATACATCACTGTCTCACCTGGTGTCAGAGTAGGTAACCCAAGGCCCCGTTGCCATGGAAACCACCTCCTTTGATCCTCTGTGTTGAAGACTCTTTACTTCCACCTGCGGCCTCTGGTCGAAAACAAAAGGAATGTGCAGAACTGCAAAATTTTTCATGAAATGTCAACCTAAATAGTGTTGCGTAAAAACTATTATTAACAGGAACTTTTTTTTTTTAACAGACAGTAAAAGTCTATGTCTATCCAGTCACATGGAAGTACTCTGAGTGCATGTTTTTACTGACTAAATCAAATTATCAATAAAGAGACTTAATGTGGTTTAAAAGTGGATGTTGTTGCCAAGAAATCATCTTAAACAGTGAAGGAGAAAAGAAAAAAAGAGAGACAGCAGTGAGCACAAGTCATGCAACATCCTGGACAGTACTCTGAAATATAAATATGGAACTTGTAGTCATCTCTTCTTGTAGTCTTCAGGTTCAGGTAGATTCTGCCCTTAAATTTAACTAGCAAAGACCTCAAAATTAAAGAGGAAAATTAGTGGTGTGTTTTTGGCTTTTATCCACCATGCTTTGTTTTTGTTTAGAGTGGTAAAACTCCTCTCAGCCTGTGTCTTGATTTTTTTAAAGGTTCCTCATGGGGACATAGCAGCAGCGGCCTTCGGCGGGCCACATCTGGTCCATATTCAGTTGTTTCATTTACAATTTCCATCAGTTCAAGAGACGATTGTGAGCTCGCGATGTCATGCTGGTTGATTGTGAACTTATAATGTCAGGCTTCCATTGATTTATGGATCCACACAAATCCATTTATTACAACCTACAGTATCTGTGCCTGGACAAAATCCCCTGCAGGAACAGTTAAAGGCTTATATCAAATGTCATGGAGATTTGGAATGAAAGCTTAAAACTTTTGTGTGTGCACTTGCTTACGTGTGTGTATCTGTTTGTCGTGTTTCTGTAGGATGAGCTGTCTGTCCCCGGACATTTCACAAGTCTGTGATTTATAGACGTTTTATCTTTTTCAGACACTTCACTATGGATTTTCACAAACATTATTAACAGCTAATCTCCTTTAACCCAGATTATCTGCTTGTTTTGGCCCCTTGCAGTGTTCTTCTTTGTTGAAGGAGGAGGAGGACGACGGGAGAACGCAGAATGAGTGGTTAAATGTCAAACTGTTGTTTTGATTATTAGCCTGGTCTCCTTCTTTCCCTCCATGGCCACCTCCATATGTCCCCCCCTGGGTTTGCTGGCTGGTCGGTTAGTTGCCTTGGACCAGGAGGGGCTCAGGAATTACTTGAGATGTGTTTTGTTGTTTCTAAGGATGCAGCTTTGCAGCGGCGACTGCTGCGGTGCAAGCACGAATCTCACAAACATGTTGCATTATTAAATACAGCGTCAAATGAGAGCTGGAGGGGATGTTATAAAGCCTCTTTAACTTTTACCAACCAAAGCAGAGTGAGACTGCAGCACAGCGTCCTCCTGTCCCTTTAAGGGACGGTGGCCTGTAAAGGTCAGATTATGCTCAGAAAGGGCTGGTTCGTACATGTTTTTTGACCTTGTCGAAAGGAAGGGTGACAAGCCGGTCGTGGTAGAGAGGGCGAGATGTGATGTCATTTAAAAATGAGGGTAACAGCGCTTATTTTCAGAGAACCTCTCCTGGAAGGGGTTTCAGACACAATTCGTCAGCAGTTCTCGTGAGTATACTGCCACTTTAAGTGACACAAACAGTTTTTACAACTTGGCAATTAGAACAGACCACTATGCAAATTACTGTAGTAATAAGAGGTCTAAATGTTCAGCCTTTGTTACAGAAATATATTGTTACATCCCCATCCTCCATCATTGAGCAGCTGAAATTGCAACTATGTGGGAGGTTGAAGATTGGGTGTCCCTTAAAACATCTAGTAATAGCCAGAAAGTAAGGAAATAAAGCCTAAATTTCACATTTATGGGCACCTTTGTACTCCAAGGCAGTAAAAATGCACTTATTGGTCCTTTACCAAGGTATAATTTAATAAGTTCCATCATTCACTGACAGTTTCGAGCTCTGTACCTTTGACTGAACCCATCAGTTTGCGGGGACGTAATTACTTTGTTGGCACTTGTAGTCAAAGTGTAACAAAGAAAATGCTCAAGGCGCTGATCAGCACAATAGAGCATGTGGCCTCGTTTTTCATTTCATTCCCAGCATACCTTTGTCCAGTCATGCTTTTCACATGGGAGGTATTTTTCTGTTCGAGTGCGGCGTCACTGTCACTCATGAGCTCCTGTTTGCCAGGATTTTGATGTGTGTGTTACCTGTACGATGGTGTTTGAAGTTTAATTTTTTGGCTTTGGACCAAAACTTAATCACATTGATTGATGTATCTATGGATTCCCAGACCTGGTGTGTTCAGATTCCTGGTGAGATGAAGAGCAGACCGGCCGTTTAGTTTGAACTGCCTTTATCTGAACAACACTTGACCTGTGTTGTGGTGTAAAACAGGATTACAGCATGAACATTCCTCCAGGAGCTGAGCCCAGTGATCTCTGGATCTCTTCCCAGCCGAAGGCCTCTGCTACTGGGCTTTACTGTGTAATGTGTAGCGCTGCCTCCTGGGGCTACAGATTGGATACAGTGGAGAAGGAGACATGGAAGTGTGTGTGATGATAATGACGATTGTAAAAAGGTGGCTTTAAATGCAATGCGGATTGGCATGTGTGTGTGCATACGTTGAAACATAAGAATGAATCAGTTGAAGGGGGGGATGGTTGTATTTGCTCTCTGGAGGCAGAAGTGTAGTTTTATACATATCAAAGGCTCCTGCTTACATCCCATCCCCACTCTCGACCTCCCATGGAGTGTGAGTGTGTGTGTTTCTGCTCCCGTTAAGCCAAGTATTGACACACAGCTGTCAGCAGTTCTGATCCAGAGTGTCTACAGGGGATCACCGTGCATCACAAGAGTTTCTAAAACAGAAACTATTATAGATGTAAAATCAAATACACATTAAACCGCAAGATTTCCCTTTGTTGAAGAATGAGATTTTCTGGTGCTGAAGTTTATTTTACGGTTTTTATTTGCGTATTTGAAAATACAACAATGTTAAGTATAAAAACGTGTACATTAAAACACATTTACACCTACATACACATACATATCTACATACACATGAAAATGTGCAGAAGAAGTGGGAAGCTAAGGGCTTGTTCAGAGGTCTCTCCTAAAACTTATAGCAAGAAAAACAAATGATTATGAATTATAATTATGAATAATAAGGGATAGAACACAAACTACAGGACAAAATGGAATGTAAATATACTCATATTCTCATTCTAACAATCAACATTAGACCTGAGAAGAAACCAATGTTTAAGATATTTTTCAATGCAAGCAAAGATGATGAATGGTTGACAATATTCAGGTTTAAATTCCCCCAAAGCTGTCCCTCTGTATCATAATAAAGTGTTTTTAAGTGTATCCTCATGATGAAATTGCATTTAAATTAAGATGATAGTAGAACTAAATTGACCGTAAGAACCTAAACGTCCCCCCGGGGATCAACAAACATTTACCTGTAAAGCTAAAAGGCACCAACTGTTGCCGTTTCTCCCCTCTGCTGTGCTGTGGCAGGCAGAGCCAGCCAGTCTACCCTGCCCTGTCCCCCTGTGGATTCAGGCAGCCCTACTCCTCCAACCTCTCCGGCGCCTCCTCCTACTCCAGGTACCTAAGCCGGCTGGTGGGACCGAGCCAGGCCGAGCCAAGAAAGTAAAAGCAAAAACAACAAGCAACGCTCTGCATCATCAACTCCTGTTTATAGCACATTCAAAATGCCTGAGCAGGAGTTTTCCATTCACCATTCATGGCAAACTCGTGTTCTGCTTCTGTGTCAGCTTTCATTGGGCAGCTGCTGTAAAAAGTCCCATTGGAGCCAGTGTGCTGTAAACAGGACGAGTTCAGTGTTTCGCCAAAAAACAAGCCGAGTCGAGGCAGACTGTGCTAGTCGCTGCTGCAGAATACAAATGGATGACATGCAAACACACACACACACACACACACACACACACACAGAAACCCAATCTTCACCTTGAGTACCATCAGGACATTAACAGCTTTTACACTGCTACGCACGCTCTCTTTTCTGTGTTTTATTTGTGAGTGTTCCTGATCCATGACCCTCTCTAATCAAACTAAATTTAGAAAAGCAACAGGAATTCTTCTGTTTTTCAAGGCCGCACAGGAACACTAACAATACGAGTGTGAACTTTGTGACCCCTGCTGTGAGTTTGAGAGAGCTACAGTGTCTTCATATGGTTGTTGTTTGTGTATTTGCTTAAGCTGCGAGTCTAATTTGACACATTTGATCCTGAACCAAAGATATATACACGCACACAGTGTAAGTCGGTGCTTGCAACAGCTTTCTCGCTGCAGCGCTTTGCCAGTTTGTCAGGTTGTCTGCTTGGTCTCATACGCAAGGTCTCGGTCACACAGCCACCGAAGTCCAGCCAACCTTATGGTTTGTTTTTAGACCTGTAGCATGCCACATAGGTGGGTATCTCCTCAGCAATTGTGTAATCATTACATAAACTTAAAAGCCATTACAGATTTAAGAATCCAAAATGCTAAAACTTTTAAAACCTTTAACCTGGTGGAGAAATGTATCCTCTTTGTTTGCCATTTACTGAGCAGTAACCATGACCTAATTCACTTAGTTTATGTGTGGTAGTAATTCTGTTGCTATTACCTACATTTTTTAAGTGTAATATACCCCACCTATGAGCTACAGGTTAAAACAAACAATATGAATATTTTTTGGTTATTATTTGACCCAGACTTTCACTCGGCTGCCAGCAGCTGATGCTTATTGCTGCTTCACTGTCAGTCATGCTCTATTGTTCCCCTTTTACCTCCACAGTCTGTAAAGCTAAAACAAACCTGTTTAAACATCTATTGTTCTTTTATCTTATATTAAACTTCTCTGGAAACAAAATCCCTAAAATAGCCTTCTTTTAGACTTGAATTAATAGATTTGGCTCATATCGTTGATGGTGAAATGATTTACTGACAAGGAAGATGTTTGCAAGTGCACTGACTTGCAGATGTGAAGGAGTATTTTCCTGGTCTCCCAGCCACTCACTCAGTAATGCTAGGACTCCCTCTAGTGGTGACAAATGCTTACACATTTGCTGAATAAATATAGAGAACCAAATCACATATTTAAAAGGGCAGTGCTCAACATGAACACGAGCCACCATTTGTGTAATTTTTAGCTTTTTACAGAGTTTGTCAACCTATGTGTTGATCTGATTTGTTTTCTGGTTGACCCTAGTGGGGGAACCAGGTTGAAGATCAGCAGATTTCAGGCACTTAAATGCTTTTCATGCTCATTGCTTACCAAAACTCTTGCTCTTGCTTTATACGCTCACTGTCCTCTCTGCCCCTGACTCAACACATTCCCCTGATCTGACTAAAGCAATTTTTTCTCTCACTTCTATCTTTTGTCTATCTGTCTTCCTCCACCTTTTTGTTTTCCCCACCTCCACCAGGTTCCCTCACTCTCTGATGCTGGGCCCATCAGGCATGCATCCTACAGGGATCCCCCACCCAGCCATAGTGCCCCCTTCAGGCAAACAGGATCACGATCAGTATGACAGGGGCATGTACGCGTAAGTATTGACTGCACTGCACGGCCCACTTTTCAAATCCACCTTTTCCAATCTACCCTGTTCATCATATCCTCTTTTAATTTCTCGAGCTGTTTAGTATGTGTATGTATGTACTAATTCACTCTTTTATATCAAACATAAGAGTTAAATAAGAAGATTGATACACATCTGTAGCTGCAGCCGCTTAGCTTAGCACAAAGAGTGGAAACATAGGGAAACTGCTAGCCTGGCTCCATCCAATGGTAACAAAATGCACCTACCAGCTCCTCTAAAGCTCACTAATTAGCTCATTAGATCTTGTTTGTTTAATCCAAGGTGTAAGAAGTTGTAGCATTATTGAAGGTTATATGCCTGCCTATTTCTTAGCCAGGCGGGGGGGGGGGGGGCCACTGTGCTTTAGCTCAACAACGACCTTGATAAATGTTATCTTTAGTAGCTACTAAAAAGGTTCTACTTACGATATAGCGCATAACAGTTTCACCAAAACAGGCATATACACTGCATTTGTATGACATTCTACCTACGTAAATAAAACCTGAGAATACATCGCACAGCTTTTACTCCTATGGGTTAGAAGTTGCGACTCTTCATAACCTTTATGAGCATTCTTAAGGATATGTGTGACAGTAACTCTCACATTAAATTTTGTCCTACCACCATCAATTCCTGAAACGAGTACCATCAGCGGCTTATAACATCAGGAACATGGTGAGAACAGTTAGTAGGCAATGCTATCTCAACACACCCGCTAGAAAGGCCTACGAAAATAAAATGACATTGAAAATAAACTACACATATCACCATGAATAATATGCACATAAAGATAAGCAATACAAGCCAGTTTAAAAGCGTAGCTGGCGTACAATTATTCAATAGAATCACAAGCGGATAGAGCATGTTCGCAGCCTCTAGCTACCACACCCAAACATAAATCTCTGTCAATCCTCACAAGTTTAGACTGCCGAATGTCGTCCTCTTTTCTACCCCACCAGTCGTACAAACAGTATGCAGCGCGCCTGCCTTGTATGAATGATCCTACCCGCTCCCAGCCGCTGGTCTCCGCCACTGTCATCATACCTCTGCCCCAGGCGCGCATACTAAGTTGGCTGTTGTTATGAATCCGTTATGCACGATTGGTCGGAGTGGTTTCGTCTACCGAGTTGCTGGCACCAGCGACTCCGCGCACTAGCGAACTAGCCCGCTATGTTTCTATGTTGAGTCCGACTGATAGGAACAGCGCTTTAGTCTTTAGCTCTGTGTGCGTCTGTTTGCTGATGCTGTGTGCTGCGTTCCCTCGCACACTGCTGTCCAACTCGGTTACTGCGCTGCGCTCGCTCTTTAGTGAACGGCGATGCACTTCGCCCTCCATCTCCTTCATCTAGCATGAACGGCGATCGACGGGCCCCTGACCGCAGGTTCTGGGCTCCTTCTCCTCGCTTGTCTTGAGGTTTCCCTTGCAGGGGGCTGCGACGAGTGGGAGCAGTGGCAGGCAAAGAAGACAGGAGAAGGATAGGGGGATAATCAGACTGGTGAGAGAAGATTTGATGCGCAGATGGTGAGGATATCGAACTGTTTTTCTCTGTTTTTGATTTATGTCAAACTTTGGGTATAACAGAAGTACGTCCTGTTCTTTATCATCACGCTTACATCCGTCATTGAAGACACAAACGAAGGAATACATACCAAAATACAAACTATTACAGCACATATTTGACACTCTTAAGAAAGGATACACTTTCTACAGAGATTCAGTTGAGGAATTGATACCACATGGTATCCATACCTACCGACATCTTATTCACCTACTACCTTAGGTGCCCGCACATTAAACTCTAAATATACGTAACTCAAAATCACATTTACAAGCTAACAGAACAATTCAGCCCAATAAGCGTGGACGGGGGTAAAAACAAAAAAGACAGAATCCACCCCAGCCCTGCTTAAAACTTATTATACTGATCTTTGTTACATTCGCACAGTCTGCCACTTGCAGAAACTATAAACCTTGCCGCCCCCCCCCGCCCGCTGGCCTAAGACACATAGGCAGGCTGATTAACCTTCCAATATGCTACGAACTTCTTTACACCCTTCGTTCGGATTCATACACACAACAGATCCTAATCGCAGCTAATTAGTCGCAGGCTTTAGAGGCAGCTGGTAGCGTTGACTTGCAATTTCTTGATATTTACCCTCAGGTGGAATGGAGCAGGCCTACGCAGCCTCTCACTATCGTTTTCCACTCTTTCTTGTGCAAGCTACACCCAGCGCTGCAAGCTAGCAGACTGCTGTAGTCAATCTTCTTATTCTATCACCTTAATGTGTATAAAGACATGACAATTAGTACCTACATAACCAATACTAACAGACTCGGACATTCAAAACGAGGACCATAATGACCAGGTAGATTGGAAGGTGGTATTTGAACTTCTGGAACGCTGGCCGTGCCAGTGCACGTCCAATACCATTACGCGTACATTGCCCCTGTCATACGCATACGTCGACTCCTGTTTTGCCTGAATGGGGGCACTATGCGCAGTGGGTGGGTCCCTGTAGGATGCATGCCTGATGGGCCCAGCATCAGAAGAGTACCGAGCGGAACTTGGTGAGGTGGCGGAAAACAAATGGAGGAAGAACCGCATAGACAAAGAGATACGAAGTGAGAGAAAAAAATTGCTTTAGTCAGATCAGGGGAATGATGTTGAGTCAGGGGCAGCGAGGACAGTGAGCGTATAAAGCAAGAGCAAGAGTTTTCGGTAGCTATGCAGCATGAACAGCATTTAAGTGCCTGCCAATCTGCTGATCTTTCCAAACCTGGTTCCACCCCACTAGGCGTACAGACCAAAAAAACAAAATCAGATCACACATAGGTTGACCAAAACTCGTGTAACAAGCTAAAAATTAACGACAAAATGGTGGGTCGTGCTTCATGTTTGAGCAACTGCCCTATCGCTTAAATATGTGATTCCTGCGTGCTCTATATTCTATTCAGCAATGTGTATGCATTCTGATCCACCACTAGAGGGAGTCCTAGCATTACTGGGATTGAGTTGGCTGGGAGACAGCAGGACACACTGCCTTCACCACTCTTGCAAGTCAGCATGCAACTTGCAACACACTCTCCTTGTCAGTAACAGGTCAATTTCCCATCAAACGCATCATGAGCAATCTATTTAATTTCAGTCTAAAAGGACAGGCTATTTCAGGGAATTCTTGTCTCCCCTCCAGAGAAGTTTTATAAAGATAAAGCAACACATAGATCGCTATTAAAGCAGGTTTTGGTTTTAGCTTTACAGACTGTGAGGTAAAAGGCGGAAAACAATAGAGCCATCGACTGACAGTGAAAGCCAGCAATAGCTCAGCTGCTGGCAGCCGAGTGGAAAAAAAAGTCTGGGTCAAATAATAACCAAAAAATATTCATATTGTCTGTTTTAACCCTGTTAGCTCATACGTGGGGTCTACCCACACTTAAAGAATGTTACGGTAACTAAAGCAACAAATTAACTAACCCACAACATAAATAGAGTGAATTAGGTCATGGTTACCAGCTCGTTCAGGTTGCCAACAAAAAGATTACATTTCTCCACCAGGGGTTGACGGTTTTGTAAACAGTTTAGCAATCTTTTGGGATTCTTAACATCTTGAATTCGGCTAGTTATGTAATGAATTACACATATGCTGAGCGAATACCGCCACCTAATGGATGGCATGCCGTACAGGTCTAAAACAAACCATAAGGTATGGCTGACTTCGGTGGCTGTGCGGACCGAGACTTGCGTATGAAGACCAGCAGCAACCTGCAAAAGCGCTGCCACGCGAGAAAGCTGTTGCAAGCCACAGACTTACATGTGGTGCAGTGTATATATCTTCTGGTTCAGGATCAAATGTGTCCCAAATTAGACCTCGCAGCTCTTAAGCAATATACAACACAGGACAACAACAACATATGCAAGCCCTGTCGCTCTCTCCAATACAGCAAAGGGGTCAACACAAGTCTCACCTCACCATTGTTAGTACTGTTCCTGTCCTGCGGCCCTTGAAACCGAAACACTCCTGCTTGCCTTTTCTACATTAGTTTGATTGCAGCAAGGCGTATCCACGGAATCTAGGCAAACAACTCACAAATTAAACCACAAGAAAAGGAAGCGTGCGTAGGAGTGTCACAAGCTGTTTCAATGGTCCTCATGATCGGTCAACTCAAGGTGAGATTGGGTTTCTGTGTGGTGCTGTGTGTGTTGTCGTGTGTGTGTGTTTTGCATGTCAATTCCCTTTGTAGACTTCTGCACGCAAGCGGACTTAGCACAGTCTGCTCGACTCGGCCTTTGTTTTTTGGCGAAAACACGAACTCGTCCTGTCTTTACCGCACACTGGCCCTTCCAATGCGGACTCTTTTTACCG